TTTCTCTTAACAGTGATGGCCTATGATCGGTTTGTGGCCATCTGTCACCCCCTGCACTACAAGGTCAACATGAACCCCAAGTTCTGTGGCCTCCTGCTTCTGACAACCTGGTTACTCAGTGTTCTGAACTCTTTGTTACATGGTTTAATGGTTTTGCGACTGTCCTTTTGTACAGATTTGGAAATACCCCATTTTTGCTGTGAACCCAATCAGGTCATCCAACTTGCTTGTTCTGATACTTTCCTCAATGACTTATTGATATATATTTCAAGTGGATTTCTGGGTTTTATTCCACTCTCTGGGATACTTTACTTATACACTAAGATTGTGTCCTCCATTGTGAGAATTCCATCAAGAGGGGGCAAATATAAAGCCTTTTCCACTTGTGGGTCTTATCTCTCAGTGGTTGCCTTGTTCTACGGTACAGTGTTTGGAGTTTATCTGAGTTCTGCTGTTACCCAAAACTCCAGGGAAAGTGCAATAGCCTCAGTGATGTACACTGTGGTCACTCCCATGCTGAACCCCTTTATCTACAGTCTTAGAAACAAGGACATAAAGCAGGCCCTAAGAAAGCTTTTCTGCTGACAAATATTTTCTATGTAACATAATCATTTTTCTCAAGATAAGAGAACTGGTCATGAACAACAGAACTCAAAATTATGAAATACTAAATCATGATAATTTAATAATTTCTTAAATGTACATTACTACTATAATTCAATCTCCTTCATTTTATACAAGATAAGCAATTCTTCTGTATTTTTTCAGAGACTTTTTTTAAATGAAAATCTTCCCTTCAACAGGAAATCCCTTCAGGTGACTGCATATGATTCACTATGAAACAGAACTTCTGCTGTTGGCCATAGAGTACCAGCATACATCTATCCCAAGGAATAGCATCATTATTGTCCGCAACCCCAAAAAGTTGAGATATCAAGCTCCAGATTCCTATCTTGGAAAGTCTGTTTCTTGTAATCACTTCTGGTATGAGATATTTGAACTCTTTGGGTAATTTTATTTCAATTGAAGTGTTGTTAAGTATTTTGAACAGAAACTTTCTAAGCGTGTACTTACTAAATTTTCAAGGGAGAATTGGTATGTCCTTCAAGTATTGGGAATGACTCCCAGAACAACACTGAAAATCAGAATGACCTAAGAACATTGATATTTCTTCTTTCACTGGGAAGGTGGTGGAATCAAAACTCCACTGAAATTATGGGCTCCACAAACATGATATATTTCTTGCAAACCAGGTAGTAGGTATCTTTTGTTATAATTGTTACCTGAAGACCCCATCCCTAAAGCAGCTAGCTGCACCAACAGATTGCACCATTGAGTTAATAGTCATTTTCACTATGAGGAATAACTATATCTAGCTGCCCAGTCACTCATCGAGGCTCATCCAAGTTGACATACAAACTTAACTATCATAGGTCCCTCTGACAATACAACCAGAGTAGGTGAGACAAAGTCTGGCCATTCTCACTTTTGAGGAATATTCCGGCTGCACTTCTTCTTGGACGGAGTTGTTGATTCTTTTGGCAGTACTTGATACTTTCAGTACTCTTTGCGAACAACACAACTCAAAAGCATCAACTCTTCTGTCTTCCTTTTCCATTGTCCAGCTTTTGCATGCATATGAGGCGATTGAAAACACCATGGCTTGGGTTAGATGTACCTTAGTCTTCAAAGAAATATCTTTGCTCTTCAGCACTTTAAACAGGTCATTTGAGCAGATTTTCCCAATGCAATACATTGTTTGATTTCTTCAGTGCTTATTCCATTGATGAAATATTTGACAGCTTCAATCTTCTCTCCTCTTATCATGATACTACTTATGGTTCCAGTTGTGAGGATTTTCATTTTCTTTATGTTGAGGTGTAATCCATACCGTAGACTTGTCTTTAATCTTCATCAGTAAGTGGTTCAAGTCATCTTTACTTTCAGCAAGCAAGGTTGTGTGATCTGCATATTGTAGGTTGTTAATGACTCTTCCTCCTATCATAATGCTGTGTTCTTCTTCCTATAGTTCAGCTTCTCTGATCATGTGCTCAGCATACAAATTGAAACTGTATGGTGAAGAGATACAACCCTGACACACTCCCTTCCTGATTTTAAACCATACAGTATCCCCTTGTTCTGTATGAAGGACAGCCTCCTTGTCTATGTACAGGTTCCTCATGAGCACAGTTAAGTGTTCTGGAATCCTCATTCTTCTTATTGCTATCCATAATTTGTTATGTTCCACACAGTCGAATCCCTTGGAATAGTCAATAAAAAACAAGTAAACATCTTTCTGGTACTCTATGCTTTGAGACAAGATCCTTCTGACTTCACCAATGATATCCCTCATTCCACATCCTCTTCTGAATCCAGCTTGCATTTCTGGAAGTTCTCTGTCAAGATGCTGCTGTAACCATTTTTGAATTATCTTCAGCTAAATTTTACTTGCTATTATATGTGTTCAATAATTTCCACTTTCTGTGGGATCATCTTTGTTTGGAATGGCTACAAATATGGATCTCTTTCAGTCTTGGCCAGGTAGCTAGCTGTCCTCCAAATTTCTTGGCATAGATGATTAAGTACCTCCAATGCAGAATCCATTGGTTGAAACATTTTAATGGCTACCCCATCAGTTCCTGGAGCCTTGTTTTTCACCCATTCCTTCAATGCAGCTACAAATTCTTCCTTCAATACCTCTGGTTCTTGATCATATTCCATCTGCTGAAATGGATCAACATCGACCAATTCTTTCTGGAACAGTGTATTCCTTCCATCTTCTTTTGATGTTTCCTGCATCACTCAATATTTTGCCCATAGAATCTTTCAATATTGCAACTCCAGGCTTTAATTTTTCCTCTAGTTCTTTCAGCTTGAGAAATGTCAAGTGTGTTTTTCCTTTTTAGTTTAATTACTCCAGGTATTTGCACATTTCATTATACTAATTGACTTTGTCTTCTCAAGCTGCTCTTTGAAATCTTCTGTTCAGCTCTTTTATCTTGTCATTTCTTCATTTGGTTTAGCTACTCTCCATTCAAGCACAAATTTCAGAGTATC